CTTAAGGAGGGCCGAGAGCCAGAGAGAGCAGAGGACCTGATGGGAGCAAAGGCCATGTTGGATGTTCCTCGAAAAGGAAACAATGTGAGTTCTGTCTTTTTTACAGGTAATTTAATGAGAGCTCAGTGTCCTGTATTCCTTATCACTGGTTACCAGTTACAAATAATGTCATTTGTTTGTTTATGTTAAGGTCAAATGCAGGGCAGCAACTAACTCTTATTTTATTTATCAATAATGATTATTTTAATTACAAGAAATCTAAATACCTAACAGATTAGTTTTAGCTGCTGGAAACTGAGTACAGCGAGGAGAGAAATTTGACTAAAGGAATAAAACAAATGGGACTACATTTAGAACTGGTACATAGGGTCAGGCAAGTTTGTTTGTGTAGGATTTTTCAAATGCTAAGGAAAAGGTGCTTAATCTGAGTTTTGCAAAGCATAAAATACATAAATAAATAAAGGTGTAAGAATACAAGTAATGGTGCATTACAGTGCAGAAAGAAAATTACATAAATTAGCCGAATGATAAAAGTGTGGTTTTCAAAGTAGCTGCAAATTTGGGGTGGGGGGGTTGGAGAGACAACCCAATCCGACTTTGTTACTGTACTTTATTATTTTGGGTGTTGTGTGTCATCAGGGTGCAGTGTGTACAGTGAGCGAGGCCGAGCTTGAGTCTCTGCTGTCGTGTATCAAGGACCTGCTGCCGGATTTGGGCGAAGGCTTCGTGCTGGCCTGCCTGGAGGAGTACAACTACAACTCTGAGCTGGTCATCAACAACATCCTGGAGGATCGCTTGGCCCCCAACCTGGACAAACTGGACCGAGCCATGCCAAGGTAAACACCATCATTCACTGGGAAGGCCTCTACATACAATTCTGCCATTTATATTCTGGATCGTGCTGCACCAAGAGTCCAAAGCTCAAAAATATTTTACATTAATATAAGATTGAGATGATCTCCTTTTAGAAGCTAAAATCTGTGAATCTTGCTAACTTAGTAATTAAACTGATAATCAAAAGTGTCACTGTTTACTGTACGAATCCAAAATGTGTTGTGCAGATCATTTGGGGTAAATGGAGTGGGCAATAAGTTAAGGGTGAATGAAAAATGAATCTTGTCATGATACTGCTGTGTTTGATTCGTCTTCTGTCCTTTCAGGCCAGTGAAGGAGGAGCTTCCAGATGTTCTGAGCATCAGATCCAACGTCTTTGATGATGATGAGTTCGACATCTTCCGCAGGGACCAGGTGGACATGTCCCGTATCTGGAAGGGCAGGAGGTAAGAACACACAGGAGACGCTCGCTAATCCAAAAATTAAAAACCCGGGGCGCAGGTTAGCTCAATAATAATTTAAAAACCCCATGACTCCTTTTTATGCACTCACAGTTGCAAAATTTGAATAATAATGTAAATCACCAATATACTGGTGACAAAACCGAGTCTCTTACATGATTCATGTGCGTATAAAATCACTCAACTGTTTAATCAAAGCTAAGGACTTCCACATGTAACTACCTCTTTTTTTGAAAATCTGCCCTTTAAAACCCTTTGACTGCCAGCCTGTACAACTGTACATATACAGTTGTGGTCAGAAGTTTACATGCACTTGTAAAGAGCGTGCTTTTGGTAGCCATCCACAAGCTTCTGGCTGAATCTTTGACCATTCCTCATGACATATTTGGTACAGTTCAGCTAAATTTGTTGGTTTTCTGACACAACTTGTTTCTTCAGCACAGTCCACATGTGGGGTTTAAGGGGTCAGGATTTGGGGAAGGCCCTTCTGAAACCTGAAGTCTAACCGGGTTTAGCCTTTCGTTTACCACTTTTGATACATGGTTGGGGTCAAAGTCCCGTTAAAACATCCACCTGTGTCCAATACCAAACCTTCTGCCTGATTTAAGATTTTCCTGAAGAATTTGGAGGTAATCCTCCCCCTTGATTATTCAATTGACTTTCTGTAAAGCACCAGTTTCACCAGCAGCGAAACAGGCCCAGAGCATAATACTGCCACCACCATGCTTAACAGTAGGTATGGTGTTTGTAGAGTTAAAGGCCCCACTTCCTCTCCTCCAAACAGATTTCTGGTCATTGTGGCCAAATAGCTAAATTTTTTGTTTCATTTGACCACAGAGCTTTCCTCCAGAAGGCCTTTTCTTTGTCCATGCTTCCTTCTTGCACGGCAGCCCATGGCAATGTAAAAGACGATTAACTGTGGACACTGACATCTGTGTTCCAGCAGCTTCTAATTCATCGCAGACCTGCATTTTGGTGGTTCTTGGCTGACCCCTGACCATCCTGACCAGTTTTCTCTCAGCAGCAGTTGATAGCTTGTGTTTCTGCGCCGTACACTTTATACTAACAAACAGGTGTTTGCGCTGTGGATCTTAGGACTTGTAGCTGCTTTGAAATGGCTCTAAGTGACTTTCCTGACTTGTTCAAGTCAATGATCCGCTTTTTCAGATCCGTGTGGAGCTCGTTAGACTTTCCCATTGTTGCGTCTGTGGCTGAGTATAAAGAGTATATCAAACATGCCCGATTTAAGCGGGCTCAGAGAAGTCACCAGCTGTAGTCAATCATAATCACTCACAAGAAGTTAAGAGGGAATGTCACGTAGCAAACAACTTCATCACCAAAATGTATCATGTATATTCTTGACCTCAGTAGATTTGGTCACATTTTCAGGAGACTCATAATAAATTCATAAATTAACCAAAATTCATCACAAAGAGGTATAAAATTAGCTTTGTAGTAATTATTGGAAAGTCAAACTGCCATGACATACACGTCCTTTACAAGTGTATGTAAACACAGCTGTACATGTATTTAAAGAAAGTGAAGACCAGGTGAGACTGTCAGAGGTCAAGTGTAACCTTGTGGTGTCTTCTTACTTTTGCAGGAAAGGGGAGAGCGCTCGAGAGATGCTGAACGACAAGCAGCACATAGCGGAGCAGAAAGCTCGTTACCAGGCCTACGAGACGGTGGTGGACGAGGTCATCATTGAACCTGGCGAAAGTGCAGCCACCTTCGGCCTGGATGACGACTACGATGACGAATACGATGACACCTACGACATGAACCAAGTGGGAGCTAATGACCTGGACGGAGACAGTTTACTGAACAGAAGGTAAATTGGTAAAAATTTTTGTGTCTGTCTCTTAGATTGTGACCATTAATTGGACAGGATGGAGTCTAAATTTGGAATATGTTGTTCTTGTGGTGGACGCTAATTGCATTCATTGTATGTTTTCCATTTTCACTTTTTTTTTGTTTTTCTGCAGGCCTTTCACTGTCCCGCAGATACTGAGAAAAGGAAACAAACCAGAGGATGAGGAGGAGGGTGAAGATGACGAGGAGGAAGAGACTTTACCGGTACTGAAACATTTAGAAATGAAACAGCAGATCCAACATTACAGGAGAAAAATATATTCCTTTTTGCCCTATTCCATTGATAAAGCTCAATGATGAGGCTTTACTGGAAAATATGACGGTCAATTTTGTTTTACCAGCAGTTGCAGGTACTGCTCCTGCAGGATTATTTTTGCATATATCCTAAATTAGGACTATTTGGAGTACACTGGTGTGATGTGTTAGACAGGAAGTGATGTGTTTTATACATAACTTTCAACTAGCCTTGGTGTAAATGGGTATTATTGTCTTTACACTTGTTAAAGCACTTTGTAACTTGTTTTTGAAAAGTGCTCTACAAATAAAGTTATTATTATAATGCCAACTTAAAGGCAATTATGTTAATAATGATGAATATAAAATAATCACTGACAACTTAATTACATTTATAAGATCTAAAAGCACCAGTTTAACACACACTTCATCTGACGTAAGGGATTACCATTGCAAAGTTTGGCCTTTTTTTTTTAAGCTACAGTTTCTGTGTCTGCACGTTTTATTTTCTTTCATGTGAATCCATTTTCTTTCAGAACAATGTAAACAGGGACCAGTTTGTGCAGGATCCGGCTCTGCTGAGGGAGCGGGCTGAAGCTAGAAGAGCTGCCATGCAGCAAAGGAAAGGGTAAAGTCAATATTCAGAAAACTCTCACAAGAAGTTTCTTCGTGAAAACGAAACAATTCTAGACTTGACCATTTATAGATGGAGGGCGCTGTCTATTCAGATTGTAAAACACAGACAAATGTATGATTTGGGCTGGGACAAATTTATTATTTAAATAAAACTGACTATCAAATGATAAAAGCTACATTGAAATGAATTGACAAAAGTAGATCTGTCCAGTATACGGTAACCAGGAAAACCAATGTAAATTTTAACAATGTCTCAAGGTGTATATTTAAATTCTGAAACAGCACTGGTTAGAGGTTCACCTGGTGGGTCCATCAACACCTCTGTTGACTTCCCTTCATCCTTCTCTTCCAGTTTCCGACCGGAGCGTTCCAGTAATGTGGTGGGCCAACCCAAAGGCCAAGGACAAAACCAGGAGACATTACTGGACCGACGCAAAAAGGAGGCCAACAAGAGCCGCGTGTCAAATCACAACCGCCGCACAATGGCCGACCGCAAGAGGAACAAAGGCATGATCCCCTCTTGATCTGTGTGACAGCCTGTGCTCGAACCAAATCGACTGTTGGTAAGAGGACGGCAGGAAGGTGGCTGAGGTGCGAGTCAGTAAAGGGAAAGAGAAACGGGACTGTCGTTCTGGGTTAAAGGTTGTGAATTTGGTGCCCGCATTTGTCCCCACGATAACACCTTGGCCCCGAGGTGACCGTCTGTCCTCGAAGGAGAAGCCAGAGAAGATTTTCAGTTGTAGGGGAAAAGTTGCATAGTTTACAGAGTTTCTTTGGCATGGCCACATTTTGGCCTTTCGTGATCAGAAGTTGCCAAGCAGCTTGTTAAAATAAAACCTCTGCTTTTAGTGTTTGAGCCTAAAGGGCGATCAGCTCTTTGGCCCAAAATAATTTATAGCTCATTAAAAAATCTCAAGTACGGAGGGTGAGCCACAGACTGAGGACAAAGAATAAGACCTTTAATTTGCCAAGTAACAAATCTGTTTATTATTAAGATCCAGAGTGATCGATCTTTGACATCATCATCGTCAAATGGACAACATAGGAATAAAAGGAAGCGAGTGTTTTGGCATTAGCTGGAAGAACAATTGCTGACCTGATGATCAAGTCTGGATCAGCGGCAGGCTGTGTTGCTCTTGCTACTCATCCTGTATGAGTAGCTTGTGTGAAAGCTGCTTGCACATAATGTTCAAGTGTATGCATGTGATGTCATCCACCCAGTTCACACCACTGTTGTCCAGCCTTCATAAAAAAAAAAACATTTAAAAAACAAAATCTAGACAAAAACCGAAATCAACTCTGTGACCATCTCATAATGATGCTGATGTGTTTGGAAGCACGTGCTGCACAGAGGGCCGTCGAGTCTCTCAGACTAGCTGTGGGGAAACCTCCTACATGTTGCCGTGCACACGCTATTTTCTATGAAGAGAGCAGATCTATCAGAGCATTTTGTAACAAAGAAAAAGCAGGTGTAATTGCTTTTCAGAGGTGACATTTTAAAAAACTAAATAAATACAAGAACACTGTTTCTGACATCCTTCGAGTTTGAGTCATCGCTGACAAAATGCCAAAATCAATTACGCTAGATTTGACTTTTTCCTTTCACAGTAGTATTTGTTGGAGATGATTCAGGGTACCGCTGCACAGTTGAAGTGGAAATTACACATCCAGCAGCCAATTAGCGTAGCTTAGCACAAAGACTGAAAGCAGGTGGAAACAGCCAGCCTGGCTCTATCCAAAGGTAACAAAGTCGGCCTACCAGGGGTGCTGGTAGGTGAACTATTGCTTTAGCTCTAAGGCAGTGACAGCTGTGTTAAGTACAAAATTGTAATTGCAAATGATAAGATTTACATGTGCAACTGGAGGAGGACACACCATGTTTTTCGCATGATGTTTGAGATGAGCCTACCTACATGTTTAACATTGTTTTAAAATGGTGCAAACTAAATTAGTACTGCTACTGTAACACAACTCAAGTATAAATCAGGAGGTGTGATTATGGTTTGGGTTTCTTTCACTCTGCAGTTTAGTCAGAAGGCATGTTAAGGACAAGTGCAAACACTTATTCCACATCTGCAGCACAGTTACTTCTGGACTACAACTACAGAACCTCTAGGACTAACATCTAACAGTGAAGTACGAGTACAGACACTAGCTGAAATCAGTCATGTTTAACCTCTGTTACTCCACATCATTGGGACCTAAAGTGAACATTGACACTGGTCAGTCAATCAATATGTCCATGCTTAAAACCATAAAGCATTGAATGTCGACGCAGAAACAACTGAACCGCGAATACTCGCTCAGGTTATCAGTGTTTACTGATGAAAAGCCAAATGTATTGTTGCTCAGCACAAACAGAGCAGATGTTGTTTGTGTGGAGAGTTGCATTGACCACAAACAACCTCCCAAGTCGCAGTCAAATTGTACAGTAACATGATCCCAGGAAGAAGTACTGTTCACACACAACAGTACTGGTACAATACTTCATAGTATTGTGTTTATACTACCACCATATGTCCTGCTGAAAACACCCCGAATGTCAGACGTCAAATCTGACTGCTTCACAGTCCAGATGGCCGGCCAGCTGCTGTGAGAAGCTTATATCTTATCCCACAGTCTGCTGGAAGGAGGAGGCATGAGGTAAGTTTAAAAAAAACAAACAAACAAAAAAAAGGGCTACTGGAGCGTCACAGAGGAAAAGACGAGACTTGATTCCCAGAGGCTGTGGTGACCTTTAACTGTCTTTGAAGACGCTGCCTGAAGAGGGTTAGAAAAGAGAACATCAATTAATAGATTAGTGGGTCAACAGAAAATTTATCAGGAGCAATTTTAATAATGGTATACATATACATGAAAGCAAGAGGCAAACAGGAAACGAGGAAAGAGTATGATTTATCATTTTAATTTATTTTCTATAAACGTGCTGTCCTTTAAACTGTTCTAAAAGTATCTGACATTTTATGGAAATATTCATTAATCGAGAAATAATCAAAAGATTAATGAATGAAAACAACTGTTAGTTGCAATCCTATTTTGATTTCAAGACATTTACCTGACTAAATAAAAATGAAAATGCTAGACTCAGGCTTTGATCGGCACATACTTAGTAAACAGAGTGTCTACTGCAGGTAGTTTTACGATTGATAGTAAAAAAAAAAAAAAAAAAAAGAGTTCAGGGTCATTAAAAACGATATTAAAAACTTCATGTAAAGTTTTACATTCTCAAGCAATGATGTTACTGCTTAGTTACTTGGGCAACAGTTTATCTATGATAACTATTTGCATGAAAATTAGATAACTTAAAGTTACTTAATGTTGGTATAAACCATAGTTGTCGCCCCAAGCAGCTAGGGGTTCAGGGCCTTGCCCAAGGGCACCTTCGGCAGTGACCAGGAGGTGAAATGGCCTCTCCATCTACCAGTACACGCTCTATGTGACTGGTCCGTGCTGAACACGAACTGACGAGTCGAGCCGAGGTGTGGTCAGGGTTGAAAAAGGCTTTAGACACTGCTTTTCAGCCTGGTGTTAATTAACTCTCAAACATCATCAGATGAACAGTGCTGGGTATCCGCATGATGCTGTGACGTGAACTCACTGAGGATGCTGCGTTTGCACAGCGGACAGGTGTGCTGCAGCAGCAGCCAGGGGTCGACACAATCTCTGTGGTACTCATGAAGACACGGCAGCACCCGCAGACACTGGGACAACAGCAACACAATGCACCACCAGTTTATATCATTTCACTGCAGAATCACCTGACCTGCACATAGTCTATATGCCTCTAACTTTCCTTTAAATCTTAAAATAAGACTAAAGGTAGAGAAACCAACTGGCAGAATATACAGGTATGAGTATTTGTCACGTGATCATTGGGGTAAGTGAATCCAACCAGGGAGACAATACAGCTTTAATGTTAAAATCAGGGGGTGTAGGAGTGTTGGCTGACCTGGTTGTTGTTGAAAGGCTCCAGACAGACCGCACAGTTGTCCGTCTCTAACGGCTGGGACGGGTCACACCACGGTTTGGGCTGACGATACCTTTTGATCTTCAGGGCCGACATTCTCTTCAGGACGTCCTGTTTGGGAAGGAGCTGGCGAATACAGCACAGCAGAACATCATAACATGTTAGCAGAAAGACTTCAGCTCAGGGACACCTTGACTACACAGCAATACATGATGGAGGCGATACTTACAGGACAAGTTCTCCTTACAGAAGAAATGATCTGGCTAGAACATTTTAATGAAGATGTACCAAGATTTAACCACCTGAACCCCGGTGTTCCACTTTCCTTTCAAAGACTGCAACTTATCTGCTTATTCCAACACTTCACTGAAGCACAGTTACAAACACTGAAATATTTAGTTCAACCTGAAGTACAAGTACCTTTGTTTTGCAATTGTTTGTGTTTGGCCGTCTGCACTACACGAGTTTGTAATGATCTAAAGAGTGCATACAGTGGCTCAGATCTCCATAATATTTGTCTAAGAGAAGAAAAGCATGTTGACAAACCAAGCTTCAGTAAACTGTAAATGTAACTATGTAGTGTTATGCATCTAGTAATTTCATATTTATTTCTGAAAAATAACATTTTATAAAAATGTGTATATACTACTAATGATAAAACAGCAGCGAGTGTGCATAATGTTCTAATTAATTTTAAATTCTAATTAAATTAGCTGAAACTCTACGACCAGTATGTAAAAGTAGCAACACCAGAATGTAGAAATACTTCACAAGTAAAAGTGCAAAAGTCTAAGCATCAAAATATACCTAAAGTACTCATTATGCAGAGTGGCCCATACATCATATTATTGGATGATAGTTATTGATACATTAATGTGATTATCACTGTTGCAGCTGGTAAAGTTGGAGCTAATTTTAATTACTTTATATACCGCTGGGTAGCTTGTCAATTTCCCTATGGGTTCAACAAAGTCTTATCTTAACATGTAATAATAATACATTGTAATGTATTTGTTGGTGTTCTTTTTTATTTTATTAATCTGCATCTGCAAAGTTACTTGTAACTTAAGTTATTAGATACATTTGGAGCAAAAAGAACAGTGTCCTCTGAATTGTACTGGAGTAAAAGTATCAAGTAGCACAAACCTCAAAATGGTACGCAGTTAAGAAAAACAAAACTGCAGTATAAAAATGCCAAAGATATGTTTGTACACGTGTAAAACTGTAAAGCTGTGATAATACCAGCAGTAAAGACAGACTGTACCTCTAAGTCGTCGTTCAGCTGGTGGTCCTGGTACTGCCAGCGAGCCTGAACGATGACTCCAGTGCTGATGATAAGTGCCACCAGGAGGACAGTGTCCCACAGCTGCTGCAGGTACTTCTACAAACATACAGAGAAGAGCAACATCACTTTACCATCTGGCTCTTTTATAGGTCTCATTTAAATAACATGCTGTTTATGAGACTAGTATACTGTAGTGAGTGAAACTACATTTGCACGGAAAACTCTATTTTGTATATATGTGATTTATGTTTTAAATACTGAGAAATTACCCAATTTGAATAATAATAGTGGATGTTTTGTATGTTTATAGCTGAAAGGGTTATTTTGAGAGAATGGAGAGCGGGCTACAGAGGTCTGGTGAGCTCAAACACAACTGCCACTGACTCAAGTTACTCACTTAAAGCAATTTATCAGGCTTCATGCAGCCCCCTCTGGAGACACAAAAGGCTTTATAGAACTTTTTTTTTTTCACGTGTGTAGTGGTACTAACACCTGTGAACAGACTTGTGTAATGTAAAAATCTGTGGATTAGTCCAACAGCAGCTAAAACATGTTAACGAGGCCGATGATGTGTTCGTCCTGCTCCCCCACCTGGACCTGAGAGTTTGTCTCTCCCGTGCAGATGACCCCCTGCCACTCTCCGTAGCGCCCTCCTCTCGACCGGCCGCAGCTGGACCACAGCGTGAGCGTGGCTCCCTGCCCGAACACACAGCAGCATGCGCTCACTGTCAGCTCAGCCTGTCATCTGTTCACTCACCACTGGAGGGTGTTCACAACTGAGAAAAACACTGTCAGCTGATAGACTGAGGAGCTCACCAGGTTGTCCTGCAGGATCGTCTTGTATGTGATTTTTGCTGTCGCTTGAAGACCCCTGTGGAGAGAGCCAAATGTCATTTAGATCCTCCATCACTGCATTTACATACACTAACCTGCTGACTGACCAGATGAAGGTAACAAGAAAACATCTTAACGCCACAAAACATTGCAGGGATTTTGTGGTGTTATTGGTTTTCACACATTAATTGATCTACTGAGTAATTTAGTGTAACAGGAAACTTCTTTTCGCCCCTGTACATAATCAATACACAGAAAAATTAATATCAGACTAAGGTGTGTACTGGCAACAGCCATTAGATTAATAGCCTAATAAATAACAATATATATAATTCCATCATGCTAGGCAACCCTTCAATGATTATGTAGAGACCAGGCAATAAATATCCTCTTACCTCTTTGCTACAATATTTAGGCCATACCTAATGTGTGATGCCGGGGTGGTGATGGCGCAATGGATAAGAGCAATTGTAAGTCGCTTTGGATAAAAGCGTCAGCTAAATGAATACATGTAAATGTCAGTAATCACCATGTAAAGCAGCTTTACACCTTGGTTAATATTTATACTGTGCATGTCTTCTTGTTTTTTGTACTGTACTGTTTTTGTAATCCCAAATCAATACTCTTTTTATTTTGCTGAGTACATATGTATGTATATGTCTACAAAAAACATTTTGATTACATTTACCTAAATAAACGTTTTCGTCATCAGTGATCAAAGCTGTCTCAACACAAATAGCTGCGTAGGAGTTTACAATACAATACAAAACAGTTTTACCATTTAAAGCAGGATATATCACATTAAAGATTAAGTAAACAAGAACAAGAATCTAACTGAATAAAGCTGACTTTCTGAACTTAATACGGATACAATTCAAAAAGTATTGAGGTTCTATATAGTACAGTTGAGCCGTGTATAGGTGAAAGCTGAAATATTGCCCGAAACTGGTTATAGCTGAGTTAGTAGTGTAGATTAGTCCTATACGACAGCCTCAAACGGAGTAACCACGTGACATGTCGTATTAAATTATGTAAGTCATAAAAACAATTTGTATTAATTTGTATTTTGTTGCTTTTTTTTATCAGCGGTGTGAGAGAAAGGGCCATGTGAAATATCCGTAATAAATAATGAGGTGTTCTGTACCTGAGCAGAGCTCCGATCAGCTTGGTGACATTTTCAGATGTCTGGATCACAATGATGGGCTTGGACAGCACCTGAGACAGATCCATCTACAACAGAAAGAGGCAGACTTTCAAGCTTAAATTTTCAGCCCGGACCTCAGGCTTTTCTACGAATTTCCCAAAATATGGTTCTAGCCAAAATCCATAACAATAAACTCTTCTTGATAGAGCGCCTTGAATTGCTTGTTCTGATGTCCACCTTCCCACGTACATTGCTTATAGATTAATGAAAAAACACACACACAGACACGCGCACAATAAAAATAAAAACAGCAGCAGGTTGAAAACAGTTGGAGAGTTTGTGCAGATTTACCTCCCTGACGGTGTTTTGGTTGAGAGCCAGAATGATCAGCGCTGACGCTCCAAGGACCAAAGCTCGCTTCATCTTTAACAGGAAGGATGCAGTTTAAGTGCATACCAGCATGAATCAAAGGTACAACAGATTCATAGCAAATTGAAATCCTTACTTTATTGACCATTGCATCAGCAAAGGACTCTTGATTTCCGGTGGAGGCTTTGCTGTCGTCCATCTCCACAGGCACTACCCCGATCCACAGCTCCTGCTCTTTGGTGTTGTCCTCGCCTTTTCCTCCGCTCACCTGTGTCTCCTCATCCTGAACCTGAGGACAGAAACCAGGCTGAAAGTTTGCACTGGAAACTCTAATACTGTCAGACGTAAGCAGACGCACTGGTTAAGATGCGGTGCTCAGGATCTCCTCCGTAGGGGCTGCTCCAGGAAGGCAAGAAGTGCACTTTTTCAACCCACATCTGCAACCCCCATTTCAAACAAAACCATTTAAATTCACTCCATTTAATCAAAAACTAATTCAAGCCTGCTGCTCAGCCTATAAATAAACTCTGACAGTGTAAATTATTCTACTGAAAATAACACTGTATTTTATACCTTATATCTCACATTCCTGTTTACTGCCTACTGTCAATCATGGTTTTTGCATGCAGATGTAAATTTAATTTTTTTCTAAAATGTTTGACAGAATATATTTAAATCACAGCCACTCATTGTTTATACGGGTTACATCCATCATGTTGTTGATTCCTTGAAAACATTGAAAATAGAGGTCATCGCTTTGTGCTCTGGTTACTTATTTGCAGATTTTAGACTAAATGATTCATCTATTCATTAAACAAATACTGTTAATGACAATAATCGTTATTTGCAGCCCGGTGCTCTGTTGTAATCTTAACAGTCCATAACTGTTGAAGAAATATTGTGAGCCAGGTGTGATGAAGAAGTTTCGGAGACTGATGAAGACAATATATATGCATGGTTTATTGAGCCCGGGTGAGGAGATACAGTGCCAGCATACAACATGTGAACACAGCAAATGCCAACACCAAATCTGAAGCATAAAACTTCCCCTAGAGCCTGTAGGTTTAACCTCTGTAGGTCATCTTGAACTGGCCTTAACCTAGAACAACAAATCTATCTGATGTTTAGACTCCAATGCTACATCATATTTGAATCTATTACTACCCATGACCATGAGTTGTACATTAATCTGTGGAGCCAGTAACTTCTTGTAAACATTCTTGTAAGACTGAACCATGCCAGATTTCCAGAGAACGCTTATGTCTGCGAGCCAACGCCTCAGGTACTGTCTCTACCATATCAGTGTAATCGTGGTCTCTCTAATTGTAATATAAGGACACGTACATGAATGAAATAACCTAATGACTCTAAGCTAGACATGTCTTACCTTTCACCGTTACATCAATTAAGCCCCTTAAATTGCATTGTTGTTTATAACATTAACAACAGTGCAGTTTTGACCATAAATTCCTCCCCTCTGAGCCACTCACCAGGACCAGCTCTCCCTCCAGCTCTTCTCGGTCCTCGTCCTGGTGCTCCGAGGTCCCGCTGACCCTGCTGGACTCCACCACCTCCCCCTGGAGCAGAGCGCTGACACCGGGCCGCTGCTCCAGGAAAACCTCCACCAGAGCGACCTCCTCCCCGGCGACCAGCAGCCCCGGCCACCGCAGCAGCAGCGGTAACGTTACCCAGAAACAGCCCCAGCTGCGAGCTGAAGCCATGGCCCGAACAACAGAGAGAAATTACAGCTGAAAATTTTTATAAATACAAAAATCTGATCAACTGTCACCCATTGTTTTGGAGAAGCTGCTAGCGTTTTGATCGCTAGTTAGCCAGACTCCTCCGAAGAATGTAAACAAGCGCTGACAGCTTCCGGCTCCGACCGGAAAAAGCGGGAGGGTTATTATCTTGCTCATTATTATGAAGGCTGCCAACCTGCAGGGAAGGTAGTTTTAGCTAAGTACACACTACTAAGATGAAAAACAATCAGCTTTAGCGTTCAGTGCGCTGTTCTTCCGTTAACTTAGTTACAGTGTTTTGACAGTTGTGTTTTGTACAACCAGAGAAAATTGTAGCAACGTGAGTGCATCTCCAGACTTCCTTCTTCGCTTTAAAGCTACCCCGCTGTAAGTACTGAGTCAGATCGCTGTTTCACGTCTATTAACGCGGTGACTAATTAAATATCATACATTTTTTTGTGAGTGAGCTCTGAAAACGAATAATCAAGCGACGTGTACCTGCTCCATTGAGCGCAAATCAACTATATTTTGGGATATTTTGCTAGACTGTTAAATTATGAGTCTTACAGAGAAGCACTCGTAGCTGATGGGAATAATTCAATCGCGGAATCAAACCAAATGTTTTCATTCTTATTGTGGTATGTGCGTATTTTTCAGGTTTTCGCATTATATAATATAGAATATAGAATAGATATAGAATATTTTATTTATTTTTAAAAATAGATGTAAATACGAGTCAATAAGTTACATTTTCTTGACCAAAGATGTGTTAAATCAAGCATTTGACCATAGTGTAGTTAAGGTGAATACGAGTTCTGGATGTGAAAGTGTTTTTAAATAGTTGATTTGTGCCTTCTCACATTCTCAAATGCTCCACTCACTGCTCGACTGCTGGCCATCAAATCTTGCTGTGTTACATATCTGTCCTGCATCCTCTCAAATCTGCACTTGATTCGCCAAATGCTTTTGAATTTGTTTTATGCTCATAGTTGTGCCATTCCCCTTTTCCAAGCCAGCATCTATTACGCTAGCCTCAGCTCTACAATGTATTCTTTCTTTCTGGAAAGATATGATACTGGCAGGGCTGAGTAATACGTCAAAATAATTGTTTATTGATATTGTGCTGATATCACGTTATCAAATCAATCTACCATTGTTGTTCAACTAGGCCCTTGTCAAAAACAGGATTAGGTAAACAAAATTAAAATGTTGTTTGATATATATAGCCTGTATATGAAGAGTTTGTCCCATGTAAAGTAGGGCTGGACAGTAAAACAATAACAATAATTATCGCAATATAAATTTCTTCAATAACAATATAACAAATGTTCAATAAATATTCAATAAATGTTTGATTTTATTCACTTGAATCATACACGAATTAGGACTTAATTTTTTATTAAGATGGTTATTTTGTTGAGGAAAAAGGACTGAAAGAAAGCATTTACTTAATTTTACTCATGCATATGTGTTGAAAAAGATTTGATCATAATTGTTTTGAATGTTCCACCTCAGATTTGTGAAGTGATCCACTGTTTGGCATCAAGTGTTGACCATAAAGACGAGCTTAGACCACAATTAACCATCAGGTTTCTTCAACTTTCCCTCAGTAGCAGAAATCAGCCTTTAAACTCAAAAGAAATAAAGATTTGATACTTATCGTGATAATTATCGATATCGAAAAATAAGAAACTTTTTATCTTGATAACATTTTTGGCAATATCGTCCAGCTCTAATGTAATGCATAATAGGGGAACATATAAGCCTATAGCTGTTCAATGCTTTTTAACATGAGTGATTATTTTATTTGTGATTTTGTACACATTTGGTACATTTTGCCTTGACCTATATCTATATACATTGAAAAATATCTTTATTATTAGTGCGATAATGATTTTAATTGCATCGCCCATCCCTACACAATCGTTATTTAGGCATAATACTAAAGTTATATATGCTGTCAAAACGCCATGTGAGCTGTAGGTTACATGTTTGAATACTAACATAAAACAAAGTTGTTTCTCTGTTAAAATAACTGTTAACATTTTATTGAGTAGTAGTGTTAGTAGATTCCCATATAATATTGACACAGTAGTGCCCCGTTGTTTTCCAGAAGTATTGGTTGAAGTAACCCAGTCTGTAAAACTACAAATGCTAGTGAAGCTGCTAGCTTGGAGATGGGGCGGGGTTTCTCCTCCCTGTACTTCCTCCTTCTCATCGCGAGTAATCATCCTGTCATTTCTATCGTCTTTGGCCGAGTCAGCCGGTTGGACTGGTCTCTATCAGGCGGTGAGACTCGTGTTTACATTTTTTCCTCCATCTCCTGACCGTTTTCTTTTTTCACCTGCAGCCACCTGATAGCGAGGATAACGGGGTAGGGCAGCCGTGAACGAGCGTCACGGAGAGGCGTCACAGACTGTGCTAACACGGTGACGGCGCTGACTGTCGGTCTGTTTATCTGACTTTGAAGGAGCTGGGTGTCTTTATCTTGCATCTTCTGTCCGCAGACATGAGCGGAATAGTAGGAGACCTTAGTCCTAAACAGGCGGAAGCACTGGAGCAGGTAAGTTTTTTATTATTATTAATAATAATAATAATTGTCCCTGCGTAGTGACAATATCGTGCTTTATAGCATCTCTTCCTATAACTGTTATATCATAAGTCTGGTAGGCTACCATTTTCTAAGAAGCCACCTTTAATTAAGGCTCTATAAACTGCAGCTAATTGCATTCTGAATGTTTTTTTACTAATATTTTATAGATCAGTTATAAGCCATTACATAACTGTCATAGGGCTGCAACTTTAACAGTTAGCCTATTTTCATTATAAATGTATCTGCGGATTGTTTTCTCCATTAATCGATTAATCATTTTGTCTGGATCGTTCACTTCCACATCCCTGATTTCATATTAGGTTGTAAATAGTTATAGGTTCGCTGTGATTCATTATAATAGACGAGTAGTTAAAATTAAAGGGAAGTGTGTTAGCTGTTTGTTTAGATAAGGGGAATGACACCATATGGCCAAAAGTGGGAAAACAATGATTCTGTATTTTAGACAATAGTGCATGACACCAGTTTGGGAAAGGGTATCACCTGTTTCAACATGACACCCCCCCCCCCCTACACAAAGCCAAGTCCATAAAGAAAGGGTTTGTTTACGGTTTGGTGTGGAAGAGCTTGACTAGTGGCTAGTGTTATATCAGCAGCTTAACACCCATGGTTTTAGAAGGATTGTGTAAGTCAAGGTTTTTCAGCAAACACGACAAATTAACTGGTTGCAGCTCAAGTTTGTTATAATTGCTGGTTTTCTTTGTCTTCTATTACAATAAACTGAATATATCTTAGTAATGTCTAAGATTGTATAAGACAAATGATTAATCAGTTATTCAAGAAAAAAAGGCGTTTTGCAGCCCTTATTGCTTAACTGTCAACATACTGATTTCTCCCTGCGATGGACTGGCGGCCTGTCCAGGGTGTACCCCGCCTTGCGCCCGATGTCAGCTGGGATTGGCTCCAGCCCCCCCGCGACCCTGTACGCAGGATAAGCGGTTGACGATGGATGGATGGATGGATACTGATTTCTGGTGTCCACATACTTTTGGCCATGTATTGTAGACTTTGGTCTTCGTGACTGTTTTTCTACCCATGCAAGAACTGTTCACGGGGATTCATTGCTGAACATTGCCATTAAAGTATGTAGTGACAAGGTCACAAGTTTTAGTACATGAAACCTCCTAATATGAAATGAATGAGTGAAAGAGAAAAGTTTTAAATAAGAAAAATACCTTTATCTCCAAGGTCAGACTGTAAAGGTTTTCCTGAAAGTCACTTTCTGGTATTGAATCCTCTTTGCAGCTGATATGCAAAACTCAAAAGTCTGGTTTTGTTCTGTCTTTCCTCTGGCTACAGTTTCGAGAGAGGATACAAGACATTCTTCCTCAACTTCCTGCACAGCATGACCACTTCCTCTTACGCTGGCTCAGAGGTGAGTTGAAAATCATGATGCACCTGCTTCTTTTCCCTGACCACAGCTTGCACTCACAGAAAAAGCAAAACCTCTCACGTAATCCCGCTCGTCTGTGGTATTGTGGTGTGGATAATTTGCCTTGTATTCCTGTGGGAAAATCTGTCTGTGCCATCGTACATTGTGCAGTAAGTAGAACTTGCACTGGTTTATTACATGAAAGGACATGATGCAACACGTGTAAACAGCCCTTTTTGTGGCGGTTGAGAAAGACACTTACATGGTTTTTATGCCTGAACATGATGCTCTAACCACTTCTGAAAAATCGGACTCCCAGTATGCTGAGGCATTGAATTCAGTTTCCTCAAAAACGGCCATAGAAGGTAAAAAGTATTCAACAGAAATAATATTTGCTCTTACCTTCTGTAGGTGGTAATGTTAGTTAAAAAATGCTTTTGTATGGGATTACATGCATTAATCATCTATAAACTCATTGAGTTTTGGTGGCAAGTTGCAAGGAAGCGTCTCATAATGTGCAGGTGTCAATTTTAGCAAAACCTCAAACAGTAAAATTAATTAATCATTTTTAATTGAATAATCCATCTATACATTTTCTGCCGGTTATCAAGGTTCAGGTCGCATTAACATAATTAGTTATATTAACAGGAATTATTGGTAAAAACTGTCTGGAGGTACTGAAAAAAGTTTATATAATAATGAACAATTATAGACCTTATCATCCCTGCTGGTTTTTCATCATACTTTCATACTCTGGTAATTATGGGCCATAAAACTAGGTCTTAAAAAGTCTTACATGTAACTTGGTGAAGCTGGTTGAGGTTACACCCTGAGACCATAGAGGAAATGGGAAGCAGTGATTAAAGGAGGCCTTGTGCTGATTAGTTCTGGAGCAGAGGTTTAGCAATGTGTGTATCAGGCTAATCCAGGGCTAATCGCATTAAAGTGCACTACGCGATGGACGACAGCCCGTCTGCCAGGAGACACTCTGCTGCTGTGTTTCTGTTGCTCTCCAGGGTTCAAGTTCCCTGCAAGTTTCCTCCAAAAATCGTTTCATAACCAGAATTCACAGTAGCAGTGAAGGCGTACGGTTCTCTTCAATTCAGTCTTAATAATTGAGCGTAGCGGTTTTGAACGGCTCTCA